CCCCACCCCCACCCTCTCCACCATCGCTCTGTTCCCGGCGTATCAAATGTGCAAATAATGGAGAACAGTGAAAACTCCGAAATGGAATGCAAAGTTGAACTGTCTCATTCATCTGTTTGTCGACTATGAGCATAAACTAGATGATGGATTGGAAAGAGCTGTAAGTACATCATTGTAGGCAGCATGGTCTTGTTGGTGCACGTAAAAGCAAACATATGCTTCAGAGAGCACGTGCAATCTGTACATATTTTGCATAAACTCGCAGATTTTGYTTTGAAGCAATCAAAGCAAGTTGTGTTGGGAAATGGCTTCATTTGCATGGAGATTGAAAGTGAACAGGTGGACAAGCTGTTGTGGGTGAAAAGAAATTTGAGTCTCCTCTCACCGCCTTTTTCCCCCGATCATACTTTGGCGAGGCACGGAGAGGAAAAGATAGAAAAGGGRAAGGGAGGGGCAGGGAGGGGAACGAGGCAAGCAATTAATTTTTTTTTGTGAAAATAAACCAATCCGTCCATTCTTCCTTTATCACTTCTCATTCAAGAGCACACACCTGTGCACCGAAACATTTTTTTGCAGCATGAATTAAAACTTCAAGGTTACAAGCTCAGCTTTAGAATGGAAGCACTCCTCGGTGGTCAAAGACAGTTACAAATCAATTTAGTGCCTCTTCATCTTGTGCAGTGTCTCGGGGTAACTCGAGACACTTGATTCGTGTCTTTGCTGGAAAGGAAAAGACAGAATGAGGCGGGGTTTGTCTTGAATGAACGTGCTGCAGGTATGAGTGAGCTGTGCGATCACACGTGCACGCTGACACACACAACCACGTGGACCCCAGCGTGTCGTCTCCTTTCTCGTAACCTGTCTCACATCCATCTATTGCATCTCTCTTTTTTTTTCTCCAGTCACACGATCTGTCTCACATGCTATCTCACACATAGGCAGCTCCCTGGGGAGAGCCTTCTCCTGTAGCCTTCTTGGATGCAATAATTATTCCATCAGCCAGCAGTGTGTTCCATGATTGTACTCTCTTAGGCTGTCGCTGTAGGGGGTGCACAGTGAAGAGGGGAGGACTGGAGATGTGGGGGGTGGGGGGGTTTAGACTGTGAAGGACTCCAGGGAGAGAAGCAGGGGAGTGTGGTTGGGTTTCTGGCAGCAGCCCACCCAGTCCTGCGGATACGAGTTCAGAGTGAGACTAATGAGCTAAGGTTTGGTTTGAGAAAGCTCACCTCGATGAGGACCTGTTTCATTTTACTCGCCCTTTTCTCCTTTTTAAGATGCTCTTTTATTCTCCTTTTTACTCTGTATACCAGTCTTTGACTTCATTTTTTTTAATTCAAAGAGCTACTTATTTCCTCATGTTGACAGCTACTCATTAGCCATGTTTCCATCAATGTTTTTATAAACATATTTAAGTATTGCATTAGAAATTATTAATGGAAATGGGAAAATTCAAAAAAACTTCCTCAGCTTCACAAAAAAACGTTTTTACGCTGGCTTGAGGTGTTTTGTTTTTCCTTTGGATTCTTCTGAAAAAGAATTAATGCGTAAAAGGGGTAATGGAAACATATTTGCCGAATAAGTTCCGACGTAGAGAACATTTACCTCACATGATTGATACAGTTTCCACTGTCAACATCTTCCCGAATATTCTCACAAGAATTGCATTTCTTTCTCTATGTCTCCAAACAACATTTAACATCACCAATACTAGTTGATGTGACAGAACAATTACAACTTGCCTGATATCAAAACACATTGCTGAAAACTTCTCTCCATTGTCCTGAGATGTGTGTTCCCAGCTAGTTTGTAATCTTTACTTCCTGCTTATCACAGCCACGCATAACGTCATTGCTGACGAAAGTATGTTTTGCGTAGCCTGKTTGATTTGATCCACACCAGTAGATGGAAACTAGCCTGGTAAAAACCAGAACKTTGTCCTTCACTTTGCTTCGTACGAGGGTCTGGACTCTTGGCTATAGAGAAGTGATTCTTGCTAGAGGCGTGGCCTCTGCTAAAGTGTGTGTGTGTTGTCGCTGTGAAGGAGGCTAAGCTAAGAAGCTAACCGGAAATTGCATGCACTGTAAACAACTCTACTGAGAGGAGAGAAGTACCGAGCCGAATGAGACGGCTGTAAATGAGAGCTGCTGCTTTGTCAGACAAATTTAATTTAATTATCCTCAGCCTCATCAACACGGACTGGCTTCATTCACTTCCTCCACTTCTGTATGCTAAAATAACTAGCAGACACTGTGCAGAAAATCGAAGTCGTTCAAAACTCCGCCTTCTGTTTGCTGATTGGCCCAGGTAAAATAAACTACAAGCAGACACTGCRCAGAAAATYGATRTCGTTCAAARCYCCKCCTTCTGTTTGCTGATTGGCCCAGGTAAAATAAACTACAAGCAGACACTGCGCAGAAAATCGACGTTCTGTTCTCTGATTGGTTTGGCTAAAAATCTGCCAGTGAAATCCTTGTCTATGGGAGAAATCCCAGACGGAGCAGTGAAGGGAAACTAGAATTGAGCGCAATTGCATAGGAAGCAAGGGCTAGGCTAGAGGGAAACACACCTAATTTGTATTTCTTTTTTTGCAACATTTTAAGTTGGCTCAAAATGTGCATTATAGTTGGATGGAAATATGGCTTATGTCCTCCCTGGATTTCTCTGAAAATCTCACTGCTGGAGTGAAAACTATAAGAGTACATTTGGGGATTTTACTTTTCCCACCGACCTTGAATTGTGGGGTTGATGTACATTAGCTGATCAGGGCAATACCACACCTGTAAACACCAATGTCTGGCCAGATTCTCTGCAGAACCAGACAAAAATATCTGTGTTATATTTCAAATTTTAGGACGGAAAGAAGTGTAGTTCCTTGACTCAATTACCTTTGTGATCACTGTTCCAACTGTTTAGTGCTGACTCTAAAAAACAGAGGCCTGAGCTAAGAAGATATGTAGATTTTAATTAGAGGACTGTCAAATTGTAGGATTCTATTAAAGCTGGACATTCTGGTTTGTGCCAACACAGCAGCTATACCTTGTGCTTATTGCTTAAGTTGTACCTGTATCATTCTATCTAATAGTGATTTCCAGTTTATAGTGTGATCAAACCTCCCATCAGACAATATGTGCTCCATCATAACTAAAAGATGCCATGTGCGTCCCATGTGACAGTGTTTAAACAGTCCTCACCTGGTGTGTGCATATCAGTGTTTTATCAAGATAAGCAAAATTGTTTACTCTGTCAGTCTGGACATTCTATAGTTATTTGTAGCCTAAGACCAGTAACTGGTAAGCATTTGTTTYATGGTGTTATAGCTTTAACCACCTTTTATAGCCAAATTTGGAAGCTGCAGCCTGATTCTTCTTGTTGCAAGAGTGTGAAGTATTCTTATAGTGGAAAATGAATGAAAGGGTGGTGTAGAGTTAGTCTTTCAGGGACTTTCTTTACTTTGGCAAGCGAAAACCAATGATTCACCTTTAAGTTTTGGAGTTAAAGTAAGCTCCTGGCATGGTACCTATGATTTCCATATGTTAGAGCTTCCCATGGTGGCTCTCAAAGTATATCCCCACCACTGAAGTTTATTTATCTTTTTCTTAACTTCTTTCAGGGCAGCTCAAAAGCTGAACCTCTCCTCAAAGCGGAAGAAACACCAGCCCTCACCGCTCCACCCACAGGAACCCTCCATCTACCCAACCAATTTCAGCGGTATCCTGCAGGTCTCACCACCTCCCGCTCCACCATGCCTGCTCCGAGCCGTGTCCAAAGTGAAAGAGAACCCAGGGATGGGAAAGGTGAGAGCTGACTCGAGTTAAAGTCTGCACACAGAAACACAGCTTGTATGCAGGGTGCATGCTTGATATACGCAGACTATATTTCTCTCCCTCCATCACAAAGACCCCTGTTTGTTTGGAAGGGTGAAATGCCAAGTGGCGACAGACTGGTCCACAGGCAACATGCCGTCTGGTCCAGTCCATGCAGATTTAGCCAGATAAGCTTGTTGGAATGTCATGAATTCACTCCGTTTGGGAGACGAGCATTCCTCTCTCAACACTGAAAGCGAGTAAAAGCTGTAATTCACAAATCTGTGGTCATGTGAACAGTGGGTTTTCTGAATCCACTCTTGATGCGGCGCGCTGTGATGAAAGTCAGGCTGCCAGCTATTGGAGAGTCATTGAGCAAAGCTGTATAAACACATCGCTCTTCCTTTGTGGTTTATTGGGTATTGTTTGTCTGAGCCGACGTCCTGTATTTATAAAGCAGAAGTCCCCGAACAAGATTAGATCCCACCTGGATAGGAAATGCTCGTTTCTGTTGCCAGGTATTCAGACGGTTGAAGTTTTGCCATACATTGTAAATCTCCTTTTGACATGTGGACTTCATAAACAACCTGATGTTATTAACAATTGTCTGCAACCTCATACAAGATACATCTGTGCTGCTAAAGAGGCTCTACAGTTTTTTATATATATATATGTTTTATGATGTTCCAAGGGTATCAGCTCAGATTTACTGTTTCTTTTACTGGTGAGCAAACAGTTCAGTGTGGTGTCTCTTCTTTGTCCCTGCCTGAGACAAGATGCAAACACGACTAAAATAGCACTTTCGTTAACCCCAGAGTTTTAGCTACATYTGTTTTTTATCAGTCCAACCTGAGACCCGAGTCTTGTTTCCATCCGGCTTATTCAGGTCACTTCCACTTCCCTACATTTCACCTGGAAATGGTTTTTGCAGGTTAAGGCAGTTGAGTGCATGGAGTAATGCCAAGCCACACTAATGGAATTCGAGAGGGATCGAGGGACAGTAAAGTGTGCATGAAAAAAAAAACTCTGATCTCTGCCAACATAAATAAAGCTGAGACATTAACGTTTATGTCTGGGAGACAAACAAGCCATTTAAATGTCAAGTCAAATGTAATTTAGTCAACATATGCATTTATTAATCACAAAACAGTCACTTAAAGACTACAAAGAGTTCAGTCTTGGCTTGTGGGTGTTGGGATAAATCCACTCAATGAAAGGAAAGGGTTTTGTTACATTGTCCTACAGTCTTGTAGCCTAGATTTGTAGGAATATTTATTCACATGTCAGTGAGAGAATGGACCTTTTGTGTAGGTGTGGAGAGTCCTCAGGCTGAGCAAAATAGTCTTCTGTCAAAAGAGAAAAGAGTTAGCAGCATCATAATGGCTTTATTTCAGTGCCTAAGAGGCGGCAAAGGTACTTTTCCAGGCAGTTTTCATAGGCTCAGGATTGAGTTGCCTGTCACACAAACTTCAGCGTGCAGAAACTGTTCAGGTAATGTAATGCTAGGCGTAACACTAAACACTCCAGGAGATGACAGGAATTCAAAAGGACTGCTAAAGATATCCTGAGAGCTGTTTCTGTCGCCTGTCAGTCACATATGTTCTCACACTGCCTTTAGAGAAGTACAARTGGGAAATATCTGACCATCAGAAGGGAAAGCCATACATGACCATCAGAACTGCAAAAGAACGGTATTGGAAACTGAGTGTTGTATAACCTGACATGCTGAAACCACAAAGTGCCTCTCTGCAGCAAGACTGAGGAAGGAAATTTACATTATATAAACTAAGCACAAAAAGCAAGAAAATTAGTTTTTGGTAGATTATTTCTTTGTTGTAACAATGCTTCTTGGCAACAAATATACCATTGGAAAGCCTGTTAATTTCCCTTTTAAATGGTGCAAGATTTATAAGGAACATGCATTTGTGGGATGAGTAGATGAGCTGAGTTTGAGGCCTGTACACATGAAAAATTAGTTAAATCTTCTGTCAAACAGCTTATGTCGCTTTTGCTAGTGACACTTGTTTGGAGCTTGTGGTGCTGCCAATCAGATGCCAGATTTAAGATTCATTACCAAAAAGCATCGTTAAAACAAAGAAATAATCTATCAAACACAAATTATCCGTCGGCTGCGTACATGACAGCACCCACTGYGAAGMAGGAGGGGGAGAGGAGAGYGGAAAAAAGTTCAAAACGTATTTCTAGCGGCAGAACAGGTTGGAAGATGGTTATGTGATGTTATTTATTGTTTTTYAAATCATCCTAYAGGCTCTGACATGTTAGATAAATTTGAAAATGAGGTTTTGAAAAAATCCGTAAGACTTGAAAAAATCCGTGAGATTGCTCTACACGTCCGTATACCTGCAAAATGAYGTAAAATCCTTATAAMTTAYGGACAATCCRTACAAGTTGACATGYATGATAATGATCAGAACAATGAGTACATGCACATTGACATCATTTGGATTATTAGTCAGCATAAGCCACCCCTCTCARTCTGWTTACAAATTCACTTTSATCGAGYTGAATTCGATCAGAAWAATCYGTTTGGGGCRTTTACATGATGTATTTTTATTTTATTTGGCCATTTATTCCGGTTACTTGTATGTCCATGTAAACATAGCTGTCATAAGTTTTATTTGACTCAGTCAAAACTTGGATAAGTAAAGATGTTTCCCATTTTGTAGTTTTCCGTGTTAGCTTGATGAACCTGTGGAACATATTAAGACTATATCCAGCCATGATACATGTCAAGCCCCAGAATGCAAATAGGCATGTTTTAAGCTTCCCAGTCTTGAGGGTTTGTCATGCAGTCATGACAAGAAAAAGGAGGACATTTAGGAGATGGAGTAAYATCGAGGGGTGGGGGACATATGGTCCCACTGTCCCATGCTGCTGAGCTGCTCGCGGTGCAAGAAAATGGCCTTGAGTCAGATAATCCCTCAGCAGGACGCGTCACACACTTCAATTTTTACTATTCTCAGCTATGATTTTCAATACGCACCTTGCTGCCTTTTACTAACACCATTAAGCAACGTGTTGACCTACTGAATTTGCCAGTCCATGTGAGACTGAGTGTTTCCATGGTAACCTTGGATGTACATCCGCTCTAGAAGTGGACGTGATGTCACTGTATAATGCTGAAGGACTCTGTGTGTATAACTTATGCTCAGACTGTCAAACGTTTGTTTTTCTTTTCCTGGAAGAAAAATTTTAGGCTCACTCTATTTTATTTATTTTTTTCATGCTGAACCAGAGAAAACCCTCTGCTGAGTCGTCCTGACCGTTTCTTATGTTTTCCATTTCTCTAATCCACCTTCTTTGACCCCCCTCCTTTTTATTTTACAAGGTAAAAGTGATGATGCGGATCTGTCCATCTCTAGAGGCTGCAGACTCCTCTGAGTTTCAGTCCTTATTAAAAGTTGACAGCAGGAAAAAGCAGCTTACCCTCTACGACTCTGCGTCCAGCCCCCACTCCAGCTCAGGGCACAGGCGGTCTGCCACCGTGGCTGTCCCAAAGATATTTGCCTTCGATGCAGTTTTTACCCAGGACGCCTCACAAGTAAGAACCATGGTATTTGTTTTGATTTCTGGTCAGAAATTCAGCTAGTGAAGGACAAAAGGACATCTTTATGTTCACAGGGTGTGACCAGGGGATTAGAGAAAAATGCTTGTCTTGGGTTAGGGGTGCATTCTTACCAACGTGGGTCTAACAGCTGGGACTTTTAGGCTGTCTGAGAAATGATTTGAATTCAGTCTACTTATATCTAACATCTATGGAACAGCTAAATCGATCCACACAACACACAGTGACGCAGACCAGCTTTGTTCTCTTTACAGATTTCTGAAAAATACAACAATTTTTGAGTTAAACATTGAAATCTGTTCATGAATGTCCTTAAAGTCTCTCTCTCTCTCTCTCTCTCTCTCTCTCTCTCTCTCTCTCTCTCTCTCTCTCTC